TAAGATGGACAAACTGACTTCCCATTTCACAGTGACACCCTAGCGCAGTGACTGTGTTGGTTACTTTTCTTTTGTTGCTGATGCAAAATACCCGATACCCAAATTAAAGAGGAAAATGTTTATTTAGTTCAAAGTTTGTGGAGGTTTCAGTCTTAATTAGCTGGCTCCAAGCCAGGGTGGTGTGGCACAAAGGTGACAGTTCATGGTGGCCAAAGGCAGCAAAAGTAACAGGAGCAAAAGGGGGATGAGAGCTCAAGAAGACTTTCTGTCCCTTCTATCTCATGGAGGCTCCCCACTGCTGCGTGGGTACAGCACTCACACCCATAATCTGAGCACTAGACAGTGAATCAATCCCAAACTCCAGAGTCAGCTGTCTCCGAAAAGCGGCCATGACTGCACGAGGCTTTGTGGGGACATCCAGACACAAAGCATAGCAGTGACAAACAGCAAATGCTCCACAATGTTCAAGAAATGAATAAACAAAGATAGGCCCACACCAATGCAGGCTTCTTCTCCCAACTGCAACCAACGAACAAGTAAAGAGGGAAGTGATCTTTAAACAACAGACTCACACAGTGAACTGTCCTCTGAGGAGGAATCAGGACTGAGACCTTTCGGCTTTCCCTACTAAGGTCTGAAAAAAGCCTAAAGACTCAATAAAAAATAAATAAAAAAGAAAGAAAGAAATGGGGTGTACCAGGAGTTAAACTTAGGATCTTGCACTTGTTATGCAGGTGCTGTGCCACTGAGCTACATCCCTGGCTCAGGCTGGCCTTGAACTCATGACAATGCTCCTGCCTCAGCACCCCAAGTGCTGGGATTACAGTTGTGTGCCAGCATTTCTGGCTGGTCTAGATTTTAGAAAAAGTAGTGCTGTCTGAATGCTTATGTGACTGGTTACTTGGAGCACTGAGAAGGTCCATAGCTGACAGGGGGCCCAGTTAATGACCACCACCAATGACCTGCCAAAGCCCTAAATTTCACCCCAGAAGGTCCCCACTTAATTTCTAACATGAAGCAGCAGCTTCTGCTGAGGTGTAGCTCAGTGTAGAGCCCTTGCTTCACGTAGGGAAGGCGCTGGGCTCCAGCCCTGCACAGAAAAGTTACCAAAAGCAGCTAACAGACTCTACCAAGTCTGCTACCTCACAGCCTGGGTCGGAGTTGGTTGGGCTAAGTAACTCATGACCTTTTAGCACTAAAAAAATTTTTACTGCTTTTCTCCAAGTGCTACATATTTTATCTAATTTTTAAAAACATAATTTACCTTTTTTCCTAACACATATTCCATTTCAGCACTAATTCAATGATCTATAATTATGTCAGTTTCTAACCTGAAGTTATACAATCCTGTTGCCACAGCGATGATGGCAGCCTGTGGCCTTAAGTGGCCCGAGATGCGCCAGCTCTGCTGGCAGTGCCAGACCCGAGGGTGAGGGGCCAACTCCACTCCCTGGGGAGGTTGAACGTGGTGACAGCTCCACACAGCCCTGGTCACAGTGGCTCAGCAGTTGCTAGGGTTTCTAATCTAAGGTACATGCAGTGTCAGGACACACTGATATAACTGTGGTAAAGGCACAATGGCTCTCCTTGCCGGGAGCCTTGAAGAGTACACTTTCGTTTAGGTTCTGAAATTCAGTGAAATGGCCAAAGCCCTGCACAGGTCTGCAGGGCCCTGCCTGGGAACCACTGCTGTACCCCACGGGAAAACAGCAGCGGCACACTGTCTTCATGTAGTTTCCACCTTTACTTATGAGAAATTATGTATGTTAACCCTGGACCAACAGAGAGAAGGCTATTACGTACAGAACGGAAGGAAGCAGATGAGGTGCCAGATGGAGCCAAGAGAAGTAATAATGACTAATTAGGAAGCTAACATTTATTAATAAGAGTTTTTTATGGGTGAGGCATTATGCCACATTCACTTCCCTGATCTAATTTAGTCCTTTCAACAATGCCTAATGTAGGTGAATTAACTTCATTTTACAGGTGAAGACACTGGGCTTACATAAGGTAGGTGAATATTTATTTATTTAGTTATCTGTTTATTTATTGTACTTGGGCTCGAACTCACGCCAGATGCTTATACCACTGAGCTATATCCCTGGCCCTTTTTGTTTGAAACAAGGTCTTGCTATGTAGCCCACACTGGCCTCAAACTTGAAATGATCCTTCTGCCTCAGCCTCTCAAATGCTGGAATCAGAGGTGTGCAACACTATGCCTGGGAGTAGATAGGTGATTTTTTTTTTTTTTAAACGTATTTAGTGCAGGGTCTACAGGGTCTCACTACACAGATGGACTCATGATCCTTCCTGTTTTTCAGCCTCCCAAGTGCTGGGATTATAGGCCCACACTACCACACCCCGTCTTATCAATGTCTCTGTACACCCTGGGGGATCAAACCCCCAGCCCCTGCGTCTGCCTAAGCAGGCACTTTAATCTGCTGAGCTATCTGGCTGGCCCTGGTAGGTGAATTATTAACTTCATTTTACAGGTGAAGACACTGGGCTTAGAAGTGCTAGGTAATTTATAAGGTCACACAGCTTCTCAGCTCCGTCAAATTTGAATCCTGCCAATGCATCTCCCAGAATGCATGCGGCGGTGATATGCTATGCTGCCTCCAAGAGAAAAACAAGTGGCCAGAGGTCCCCCAACTCTGTGGCAGCAGGGGCCCCATTTGTGCTTATTGGCTGGGATGCTCCTTCCTACCTTCAACGCTTTGGTGCCCACAGTGACTCCGGTCTGCAGCATGCCGTCTGCTATGCCCAGGCGGTCCATGTTCAGGAGGAAAGGCGTCACCAACGTCACATAAGTGGCTCCTGACCATTTCTTGAGAAAATTTAGAGCCCATGTTTCAGTGGATCCACCAACATTATCAAGGATAAAATCAAACCTGGAGGGACAAGCAATAGCATTATCTTTGTCAGCCTCCCCATTCCATTTCCCTTACCAGGTGGCCACACAGTTATTCCTGTGATAGTTCACAAGCCACCCTGTAGCAGCACCCAGCTGAGGGCTGGTGGCCTGAAGAGCACACCCTCTGATCCTCTCTAGCTTTTCTCCAAGGTAAATCCGAGGTTTAGGGTTTTGGTCACAGAAATCATATTTTTAATACTTTAAAAGTGACCTAACCAAGTAGTTCTCAGTTAGAACTGACTTTGGCTCCCTGTAATGCACAGAATAAACTCACACTGAAAGAATAACATGCCCAAAATGTCAGAAGTTGGTAAACTTAAGTTGCCAAGGTTGAGAAATCCTAACCTGAGCTTTGTAGGAAACTGGAAAGTGATCCATGCAATAGAAATCAAAATATTCTTTAGTGTATACGAAAACTTGGAAAGAAAAAGCATTTAAGAGTTTTATACAAAGAATGATTTTATTTCCTCCACTGTCAAAAATACTTAGGAGGAATATCTTCACCTTCCATAATTTTCTTTCTGGTTTCACATACATAATCAAGATGGTACATGAAGAGAGATAAACACCATTCCCTCAGTCTTCAGTTGTGCTCTAACATAAGAAATGAATCATATGGAATCCACAGGAAATGATGGCTATGCAAATCCTTAAATCTAACCTAAAAACTGTTCTAATCACTATTCTCCACTTGGAAGAGATAAAAACCCAGTAAAGTTTTAAATACTTTGGAAAAAGAATCTATTTAAGAAATGTATTGCACAAATGAAGTAAATCAACTGAATTCCTCTTGGGTAAATATTTTTTCCCTTCCAAATTCATGTTGGTGAAGTCAAACATCAAAGTTTCTAAAACTAGCTTTGGCCAGTTTCATGGCTCTTGGGTCTTCCATGGGATTAAACTAAAGAAATACAAAAATTAAAGGATATGAAATGCAGAAGAATAATCTTTCTGTATAATTATTCCTCTCATTAGAATATTTTCTACTTCCTTCCCAAGGTTTGAATGAACACATATGAGGATGCTTAGAACTTAAGGACAGCTGGTATCACAGAACAGGCACTATCTGGTAAGTCTGAAGATCAAGCTATAGATTCTTCAACTCTTCCACTAACAATGAATGTCATGGCTCTGAGCATGGAAAAAGTTACCAAGTCCTCTGCCTCTCACTTGCTCAGCTATAATACACCAGGGGCCAACTGAAGGATCCAAATTCCTTCTGGCTGTAAAGGTTCAAACACTGGAAAAGCTGCTTGCTACATGGAAGAAGCAACAAATTCACTGTTGGTAGATTCAAACTCCAGAAGTCATAAAAATTAATTTTAACAGAGAGGAAGAGGAGGAAGAAGAGGAAGAGGAAGCCAGACTGAGTGTCTTCCAGCTGTGAGGCTCTCCTGTTCTCTGGAAACAAGCTCCACACATCACAGTGCTTAAGTAGAGAGAGGGGGATGGGCAGCCTCTGCTATCCAGAAGCCTGGTGCACTACACCTGTTCCATTCCCATTTCCTAGGAATGCACAGTGGCTGCTGAGGCCCTGACACCCAGACAGGAAGGTAGCTGCCAGCTCTCACCCAGGCCAAGCATGTCTCTGGTGCAGGAAGTTTTATATTTTCTGTTACAATTACTTACTTTAAGTAACTTTCCCTAGATATTGCCAATAATTAATTAAATAGTACTGAGCACTTACTGTGTGTCATACACTATGGTACCAAGTGGAGGGGTGCAACAGGAAAAAAGGAAACCAAAATTCCATCCTCAAGGCTTGCTCAGCACATTCTCTTGCCCCAGTACTGCTCACTTGGACCAGCACTCTTTCTCACCCACAATCTCCTCCTCAACCAGTTACTGTGCTCCATCCCGTACACACTCTCCCCAGAACACTAACCACCAAGACTTTCTAACCAGAATGGAAGACCATGAAAAGGGATGGGTCTCATTCCCCACAGTAGCCAGGCCAGAGAGGTCCAAAGAGAAAGGTCAGTGCTTTCCCTGGAGCTGCACATGGCTGCTGCAGCTGGTGGTGCCAGGGAAGAAGGCTGAGAACGCTAGGCACACTCAGACGGGGCTCCCCCTTTTTTTCTTTAATCTATGAAAATACATTACTCAAATGTGTGCAAGAATAATTTTCTGAAAACTGATTTTAAAAAAACAAAACACCTTTGAAAGAGCAGCAGTAAAACAGCTTTTCAGGTACTGTTCAACTATTTTCTCAGCTTCAGTTTGGTCTTGGCTACTGAAGATCAGCTTAGTAAACAGGAGCCACAGCCAGACCAACAGGGCAGGAGAGAAATCCTAATGGGTCCCTGCTCGAACCTCAGGCCCAGCCACCCCTGACATCCATTACACACTGCGGATGTCCACAGAGCTCCGCTCCCGGGAGCTACTTAATAAAAATCAAAGTGCGCTTACTGCTGGGCAGGAACTTCATGCACTATTTTATACTCTTCCTGTGGTGACCCTTGGAAGGGACTTGCTTCCAGTTTGCCTTCAGACCTCTTATGAGCCAGCAATAAAATATGTTAACTTAAAATTAGCAAAACGCCACGTCAATGATGTAACTTTCTCAGTGTGTATCACATTGTTACTGCACCCTGTCGAGCTCTGAGATCGCAACGGAACCCCATCTAACGACACAGATTCCAACCAAGTGCAAGGCCATCAAACCACCTCACGCTGCATTATATCGATGCCCTGGGGCCCACCTTCCCATGGAACACTGTTCTAATACATACGGTTTTAAGGATTTTAGCTGCTCTTCTACACTTCCAGATGTGTAATCAATTACATCATCTGCCCCAAGCTTCCTGACCAGCTCACTGGCATCTCTAGAGCAAACTGCTGTCACGTGAGCATCCCATGCTTTCATTACCTGTCAGAAAAAAAAAAAAAAAAAAAGAAGGGGAAAGAAGAAAAACTACATTAAAACCAAAGCTGATACCATGTGTACACAATCAGACTAATCGCTAGGGAACTTCAAGAACCTCAGGAAGCCACCTGTCAAATTAGTAAAAATTAGAAAATAAAAAAGAGAGCTAAATTCTTTTTCTTTTTTTTTTTTTTTGCAGTACTGGGGACTGTGATTCTGGACTAAGAATGCAGAATGCATGCTGTTCCATAAATGCTACGGTTCTTTCTATAATATCAATGTAACAGATTTCTAATGAGTATTTTTAATGAACATGACTGGAAAAGGCACCGGTTAAGGGCTAAGCCGTGGTTCTCTAAACTCTGGGACACGCAGTTATCTTACTTATTCACTCATTTAGGAGGCCCTGTGGCTGGAACCTGCAGCCCCACACATGCAAAGCGAGTGCTTTCCCACTGAGCCACACCTCCAGCCCCCATTTCATACAATTAAAGGAACCATTTTCAGCTTAATTTGAAAATAGCTAATTAAGTTCACCAAGAAATTTGTGTACTAATAGTTACAGGTCATAACACATCAGCTGTTTTTCAATCCTGTCCTGCATATCACTTCTTGAACTTCCTGCAGGTAAGCTGCAAAGGCTCCCCAGATGATAAGGGATCCGTGTTTTGCTCACTGGGAATCCCCACACCAGGGCAGGCAAAGGTGCTAAATAAACATCTGGTAAGTACAAAACACACAGGGCTTGAAACCCATCCATCAGCTTACCTAATTTCTGACTTTTTAAAAGGAGTATTGGCCATGTAATTTTGTATATCCTGCAAATCTGAGGAGAATTAAAACATCTACAAGAGACATCACATAGGATTTATTTTGCTTATATAGGCTTCAAACAGAGACACTTGAGGAAAATAACATGGTACGCAATTCCCAATTCAAACAGTAAGACAGTTTATGACCATCCTTTTCCTACTATCTATATGAGAAATGCTTAAGGAAAAAGAAAATTACATGCTAAATGCCTACATTTAATGAGTTTTTCTTTAAAGGCTAAGGAACGTCACATGTTTAAGCAGTTCGACTAAGTTCTTTCCAAATTGTGATTTTTCCTTCTCCACTTGGAACTACCCTTGTTTTCTTTGAACATCACTAAAGGTTTAGTTTGGTTTTGTTTTCAGTACAAATACAACACACAAATAGGAAAAGCCTAGAAGGCAGATACGACCAGCAGCCACTCCAAAGCTCTCAGGGCTCTGTCCAACACACGTGCCTCTGGCACAAGTCATTATTGTCTTAGTTTTTATGGTAATCACTTCCTTGTGTTTAAAAAAGGCTGCCACTCAAATATGCATTCCTTAGGCCCCACAGTTTGGCCTTACGTGTTTTTAAAATGTGGTCTTTTTCAATTAAATATAGGCTCCTCTTCTAACCCTTTCCCTTCATATAATAATTTATTTGTGGAAAACTTAAGCCATTTGACTGACCCACAGAGTTCCCAACAGTGATGGTAAGCCTTTTAGGGCTTTCAATGATAACAAACAGCCAGCTGCTATACATGTGTCACAGGTTTGCCACAACTGGTCTAGAACTTCTGATTACACGCTCAGGATAGTTTTGTATTTTTCTCTGTCTTCTGTATTTTCTGCAACTTGGAAGATCTAGACAGTGGATCAGATTGTGGTTTAATTCCTTCTAGTAAAACCATTATAATGGTCAGGTGAAACTAGAGAAGGCGCACCATGTCATGTCTGGTTGTTATGCTTTTTATAATCTTATGAACTATCAATGCTCAATATCTGTTTCTGTTTATTGGCGGTGGCAAAATACTCATGTTTTAATTCTCCTTCATTTCCCTTAGCAAGTGGAGTACCCTCATAAATACTTCCTCTTTCTCAAATTCCTTCCCCATCTCAGCTTTCACAAATACTTCCCCATCTCTAATCCTCCCACCAACTCAACCCTAGGAATCATCACCCTATTTAACAGGGGACGATGGTGGAACCATGGACAGCAGAGAAAGAACCTTTCTGAGACTTGGTGTCCAAACACTGGATTATAGCACTGTGGGGAAGAGAAGATGGAAAGTAGGTCTCTGGGACCCAGCCAGGATCTGAAGTGAGAATTAAAGCCAGTGGACAGAGTGAAGAGAGAAACTTCAACAAAGGAGGTGGAGGCAAGCAGCGCTTTCTCTCTGAGCCTGACTCACTGTATGGGAGGGTGGCTCGAACCTCCAGATGTGCAGTGACTACTGGCAACCCCAGAAGCATCTATGGAGAAATGTACCAGTGGAACGGAGCAGTAAATGCAGCAGAGTGCAGTGGCTGGTAAGTTATCACATTCAGATCTCCCGGAAGAGAGGGACGCTGTCTGCCAGTGACAGCAGAGACACACCTTGAGTGGACATTTTCTTATTTATTTCTTCTGTCTTTCTTCTCTTGTCTTTGCTTTCTTTTTTTTCTTTCTTTCTTTCTTGATTGCAGACTCTTGTTTTCATATGAGAACACTGTTTCTAGGGTTTTTTTTGTTGTCCGTTCTGTTCTTATTCTTAGTTCTTCTTTCTTCTCCACTTCTTCTTTCTGTCTTTTTCACCAGTTTTCCAAAGTTTGCATGATTTTCCTTTGTCCTCCAAGCATGCTTCTACTTGCCTTTTTTTTTTGGCAGAATTGGGGATTGAACTCAGGCCCTTGCACTTGCCAGGGAAGTGCTTATCCTACTGAGCCATCTCCCCAGTCCTCTAATTGCCTCTTTTTCTCTTTCTCTAATTTTTCTCCTCCTTTTAAATTCTGTGCCTTGAGAGTAAAATTGCTATACTGAGGACACCTTTACTGTATACAGTTTTCTGGTTCACTTTAGATTCTCTTATATAAGCACAAATCTAGTTCATACGGTGAAAGGTGGCAATTAATACTTAGCACAGTCTCATTTTCTAGGCTGTGTTTCATGCTATTGTTATTGGTGGTTGTACTACTTTACCAAAAGGTGACAAAACCATTCTAATCAATTGTTCCTGGTATGCCAAGACTGAGATTGCCTTAGGGTCATAAAAAGTATAAAGGCCACTGCCAAAGAACCAAATTGACAGCAACTTCTCATCCTCAAACTGAAGAGACTTTAAAAAGACTCAAAAGCTAAGGCAGCTACACCTGGAAGACATCCCTGAGAAGCAAACATTTCCTAAGGGTTCTAAGACTAGCAATAAAGATCCTTGCCATAAGCAATTTATAAGCACCAACCCAGGAATTAAACTAAAAAAGGGAAAAAAACAGAAAATGAAATGACACTTAAGCAAGATCCAACCCCACATTTCCAGCTCACCAAAGGCAAACACAGGGGGCAATGAGATGGAACAATTTGAAAACCACCCATTTGAACTCTCTGAAGTGGTAACAGTTGACATAACAAGGCAGATGAATAAGGCTCTAGGAAAAAAAAAACAACACAGAAATAATTTCTCAGATAACACACAGATGATAACCAGAATGAACAACAGGCTTAGTGAATCTAGAGCAGAATCAGATTTAAAAAAAAAAATAGGGGCACTAAGGAAAATGATGGAAACCATGAAGGACTAACACATGGAATTCATGAAACAGATTCGAACAGCTATCCAGGAGATGAACATCCCACTAAAAGCATATGTAGCAGAATGAGCCAATCTGAGGACAGAATAGCAGATCTAGAAGACAGGCTAGCAATCATAAAAAAAGGTTCCTTAAAACTAGCAAGGGATCACAAAAAAAAAATAAAAAAAAAATCAACCCAACAGCTGCTAGATAATGCTAACAAGAACCTACGATGGAATATAGTCAATAAAAAAGCAGATGATCATGCAAACAACTCAAAAGAGAAACTGCTTATAGAAGTAATGGCAGGAAACTTCCCAGGCAAGAATTTTACATACACATAAATGAAGCATACAGAACTCCAATAATTAAAAAAAAAAAATCAACTAAAAAAACCTACAAACCTTACACCAAGGTATATGATAGTCAAGATTCCAGAAATTCAATGAAAGAATAGAGTATTAAAAGCTATTAAAGATATAGGGCCAGCCAGATAGCACAGCCAACTAAAGCCCCTGCTTGGGCTTAGCACAGTGGCTGGGGTTTGATCCCCAGCATGCCCTGCTGGCCCTGCCCCTGGAGCGTGCTGAGATGGTGACTGAGACTGGGAATGGTGTGTGGCGTGCACTTGGGAGGCTGAAAATATATATGCAACTCAATAAATGTAATAATAAATGTAACACACCGCATTACCAAGAGCTTAGAATAAAAACTATACAATGATCTCAGTAGATATAGACAGTGTTTGACAAAGTCCAACAATCATTCATGATTAAAAAAAGAAAACCACAGGAAATGAAATAGATGGTCTTTATCTCAATCTGATAAAAAGCCATCTATGACAAACCAACAGCCAACATCATACTAAAAGAACAAAAAACTAAAAAAACTTTCACTCTTCAATCAAGAACAAGACAAAGGTGTCCAGTGTCACCACTCATATTGAATATAATTCCAGAAATATTAACTAAAGCAATTAAACAAGAAAAAGAAAAGGAATAAAGATAGGAAAAGAAAAAGTTAAATTATCATTATTTGTACAAGATACATGATAGGATACTCTACATCAAAAACTCTACAATATCCACCAAAAGGCTAGATTTTTTTTTTTTTTACAGGTTTCCATAATAAAAATGTATTGTTACACAAATCTACAGCTTTTCAACAGAAAAGACACTTGTCTGTGGCCAGAGAAGCAGGTAGGGCGTTATGGTGATGGCCTTCCAGGAACGTGGTTACCAACTCTGTTCAATGTATGTGGAGATGTCGATCTCTTCTGGAAGCTCAGCCACAATAACTTCAAACCAGTCTTGAACATCACTAAGAATTTTGGCGTCATTCTCATCAAACACGAAAGTGATGGCCAGGCCTTTGGTACCAAAGCGACCTGCATGGGCAACCCGGTGCAGGTAAGTATCTGAGTCTTCGGGCATATCGTAG